GAGAGGGGAGGGGTGGCAGGGTGGAGTAGGTGCAGGCACTGAAGCAGGCTCTGCATTTACACTTGGGTAGAATGATGGAGGAGAGCTCTCTGGGGGTGATTAGACGGTGAATCTGCGGACAGGACCTGTGAGGTTCAGCCCCCCCCTCCCAGACTTGGGCAGTTTGGTATCCTGATGTAACAGGAAAGAGCACACCTGACTCCACGTTGGATCTGTTTCTTTTAAGCTTTGCTTCCTGTTGCTTTTGGTACTCTCATCACTAAAAGGATGCTGTCTGTGGCTGTAAGCACACATAATGGCCTGTCTCAGGGAACCCTGCCCCTCTGCCTGATGTTTAAACTAAAGTACCTTTGTTCAGCTCCCAGGAAGACACCCTGACCCCTGAAGAAATTAATACATCCTCTCCTAGCTCCCCAGTGCTGGCCAAGCCAGGAGATATTCTGCAAGACCCATGGCCTTTTCACTTTACTTCCTCACCTCTTCCCTCTCTCTGTTCTATAAAAGAAACTGGCATCCAGACCCCATAAGATGGTACTCTAGAACTTCAGTCCTCCATCTTCTCGGGTGCCCGGCTTTCTGAATAAAGTCACTATCCCTTGCCTCGACACCAGGTCTCCTGGTTACTGGCCTGCTGTGCGGCGAGCAGACAGAGCTTGGCTGGGTAACACTAACCACAGCGCCTTAACGGCACTCACAGGACTGACTACTCAGCCCGCTAGGGTGAGCAGGAAGGGGAACTTCCATCAGGGAACTGCTGATGCTTCACCTTCTGCTTTTCACCAGTTCCCTGATGCTCTCCCAACTGTTCCTTAAAGGAGCTGGCCTGATGTTCCCTGGCACTTGTGGGAGAGAAAGGCTTATCCTTGGTGTCCTCCTTGGTGTGAGCAGTCTCTGGAGGCTGACTTCAGAGTCAAGAGTGTGCCAAGAACATGAGACAGGAAGTCCCCGCTGAGCCATTAACACCTGAGAGCCCAGCAGCTCAAATGCTTCCAACAACCCCACCCGCCTCCACTGCAGGAGACTTCTCGGTGCCTTCCTGAGTCAGAGGGAGTGCCTGGCTGCCACTGCACAGCATAATCTCTCTTTGAATTCTCCATTTCATTTTGAATATTCATGTGATTTTTGCAATAGGCTCTATTTTGAAATGTGAATGACGCGAGATGCAGTATAGTCTAGTTGCTAAGAACATGTGGTGTCTAAACCTTTCTCTACATCAGTCTTCTAGTTTGTGAAGTGGAATAAACATGATACTTGCCCCATAGGCTGGTGTGAAAGTGAAAGTCACTCAGTCTTTCCCTCAGTCTTTGTGACCCCATGGACTATACAGTCCATGGAATTCTCTAGGCCAGAATACTGGAGTGGGTAGCCATTCCCTTCTCTAGGGGATCTTCCCAACCCAGGGATCAAACCCAGGCCTCCCACATTGCAGGCAGATTCTTTACCAGCTGAGCTACCAGGGAAGTCCAAGAATACTGTGGTGGGTAGCCTATCCCTTCTCCAGCAGATCTTCCTGGCCCAGGTATTGAGCCGGGAGCTCCTGCATTGCAGGTGGATTCTTTACCAGTTGAGCTACCAGGGGCTGGTGTAAGGACAGAGTTAATACCAGCAAAGTACCTGGAACAGAGTCTGGTATATTGTGTTTGGAATCATTATTCCTCGACCATACCTTGATGGGGGCATCTCAGGTGGCTCAGTGGTAAAGAATCCGCCTACCGTGCAGGAGACATGGGTTTGATCCTTGGTTCTAGAAGATTCCTTGGAGAAGAAAATGGCAACCCACTCCAGTATTCTTGCCTGAAGAATCTCCATGGACAGAGGAGCCTGGAGGGCTACAGTCTGTGGGGACACAGAAGAGTCGGACATGACCTAGGGATTAAACAACAACAATAACAACAAAGATGTCTTTAAGGAGAAAGACACATAAGTTAATGTTATGTATTGATCAGTTGACAAGAACGTAGCACAGAGGCTCAGTCATGTCTGACTCTTGGTAGCCCCGTGGACTTTAGCCCACCAGGCTCCTCCATGTATGGAATTTTCCACTCAAGAATACTGGAGTGGGTTGCCATTTCCTTCTCCAGGGGATCTTCCTGACCCAGGGATTGAACCTGGGTCTTCCACATTGCAAGCAGATGCTTTACCATTTAAGCCACCAGGTAGTTTTTTAGCTCAGAGGCTGGCAGGAGTCTAATTCTGTGCTTTCCCCAGGAGCAATGGTTTGGTATTCCCAAATTCATTTTAAAGTTCCCTTAACTTTATGAGAACAAAACTTACATGGCAAATAAGGAGAATCCATTGTACATGGCTGCATTCTTTCTGGTTTAGCCCAGCCTCCCCTGCTCTTAGTGACCAGTCTCTCCTCTGCCCCCTTCACACCGAATGTCCTCTTCTCACTTCCTGAAAGATTCCGGCCATTTTACCTGGAGTGGAGAGACACAGACAGTCTTGGAGGTCCTCCTCTGGGCCAGAGGAAGTCCCACAGTAAGGAAGGGAAGATGAGGGAGGTAGACAGGCACATCAGCTCCTTTGGGTAAAGCTCTACCACCACCTGTAAGTTGCCAACCACAGAACAGGCAGGAGACAACCTGCAGGGCTGAACAGTGGAGCCTTTAAAGAGAGGAGATGCAGGCTCCAGCGCTGACTTTGCAACTTACTGCCTACAAGTTATGTGTCCCTTGGGTCTCAGCTTTCCCATCCATGAAATGGGAAGAATGCTACTAACACCATGGGGCCCTTGTGTAGATGAGCTGCACATGAAGAGCTTGGCGGGTGGCTGGCACACACTAGGCACCCAAGGAAATGGGGACTGTGAAGACTTAGCCCCAGGCATAATGAGACTTTTCAAGCCATCCGGAGGCCCTTGGATTCATACCTCTGAAATTAGATCAAGGCTAGGGACAAGCAGTCCACCTACTTCTCACCACCTCCACGAGGAAATTCACCCCACTCCGGGTCCCTGACACCGCCACCCCAAATTTCAGGCCTGGGTACCCCGGGGTATGGACAGCTGCGCAGCTCTGTTACCCAAGCTCGGCTCAGAGCAAGAGGCACCAGGTCGCTGGTGGTCCCTGGTGGTCCCTGGTGGCCAAGAGTCCGAGTGGGGAGCGAGCTCACCGGAGTCCACTGGCCCAGGCCGGCGTGTGCTCTGGGCGCCGCTGGAGGCGAAGGCGGGCAGGCCGGGAGGGGCCACTGGTCTCCGACTTTGGTCATGCCTGGCCGGGAGCGCCGGAGGCTCGCAGGCACGAGCCAGCGGTTCCGGGCAAACCTCCGTGTGGCCGCTGGGTGGTGCAGGTGGCGGCGCGCGCCCTCAGCTTCTGGGCCGGGGCCAGCGCCGCGCTCCGCACGCCCGGAGGGGGCGGGAGAGGCGGGGCGGCCCCCGTCCCAGCCCCATTTAACTTCTCGGCGGCGGCGGCGACTGCGGCGCCGCGGGCTGGAGGCCGGCGTCGGGGAAGGTCCAGGTCCCGGATCCCGCACGAGGTGTGGACCGGGCCGCTCCAGTCCGCCTTTCCCCAGCGCGCGCCGAGCCCGCGCCGCCCGGCTGCACGTCCCGGACGCTTCTGCGGCGCCAGGTGGGTGCTCGGAGCTTGGCGCCCGGGGGCGGGAAGGCTCTTCCACCGCGGGTGTGTGGGGGGAGCAAGACAGCGTAGTGGGGTTGAGGGGCTCCGAGCGGCAGGGCACGACTCGGTTCCCGGGAACTTCAGGACCCGGGCGCTCGGCGAGGCTCGGAGACCTCTGGCCGGACAGGCTCCGTGGGTCCCAGTGGTTTGGGGAGAGACATTCGGGGACGCTTAAGCGTGAGGGAACTCCACCGACTTGGGAAATCTTCGGGTTAGGGGCTTTCTAGGTAGAAAACGGGCTGACAGCAGCTAGTGGGCTCGGGCGTCGGAAGGTCCGGCCGCTTGGCAAGCGGGTTGCGAGCCCCTAGAGCGCCAAGGGCTGCGCGACGCGCCTGCCGCGGCCAGCGGGCGTGCGGGACCGGGGCGCAGCGGGGGCGCGGGGACCGCCAGGCGGCGGTTACTCGGAGGAGGAGTGCGCGCTGGGGACTGCTGATGCGAGCGAGCGAGGTGGGCGCACCGTCCCAGGGCCCCGCACTGGCCGCCTCCCTTCGGCCCAGAGTCGCCGCCTCAGGTCGGAAACAGCAGCACATTTGCGGATCGCATTAGGCCAGGCCCTTAATGCTTTCTCCAGATGGAGAGAAGCCACCGACCCGCCCCCGGACACCAGCTCGCCAAGGCGCCCGCGAGGCGAAGCGAGAGGCGAGGGTGACCTTGGCTTTTCCAGGCTCGGCCCATCCTGATTTCCCTGCAAACCGTCAGGAGGACCCCGAGGAAAGCCCCCGTTTTCTCCAGCCTCCCGCTGGTTTGCCCTCACCCGCTTTTAGGAGATTGTGCTCGTTGGCTTCTCCAAGGCTCTACCCTCTGAACCCCGCCTCACTCAGCTCTCTGGCTGCAGGGCGGGGGCTCCGAGGAGGATGAACGGTGTTCTGGTGGGGAAAGCCTCGCACTAGTAGACCTGCATTCCAGTCCTAGAATGGTCACTGCCTTGCGGTGTGATCTTAGGCAGGTTCCTTCCCCTCTCTGGGTCGGCTTAGTAAGGCTTAGACTCATTTGTGCCTGAAGAAGCAGAAGCTGGCAGGTGCCCTAACCCTTGGCTCCACGCTGGCTTCCCTGAGTCCGATGCCAACAGCCACACCCTACTGCTGACAAATGGGCTGGGAAGTGGTTGGTGCAGAGATGGCTTGGCTTTTGGAGGGCTGGAGGTATGGGCTGCACCGTGCAGGCGGGTCTAGCTGCGCTCCTGACTTTGACATGGACTCCTCCTAAAGAGAGCCCCAGACAGCCTGTACTCTACAGTAGGTAGCTCCATCCAGGGCCAACACAAAGCTTTCCAAGACAGTATGTGGGGCTCAGGGTTCCTCCCTCTGTTGATCTGGTAAGTCATGAGTGTTGCCACTGCTGGGTCTGGAGCTGAATGGAAACCAAATCTTTCCTTCTCTTTAGGCTACGAGTGAGACGCCCCGCAGGAGACCCGACCCCATGGCCTCCTGGAAGAGCCCCTGGTGGCTGCTAATGTGGCTGATCTTCATGCACTCTGCCCTCCTGCAGGTAATAAGATGGGGAAGAGGAATGGTAGGCATCCCTCAGTTTACTTAGGAGTATTATTTTAAATCACCTAAGATGTGGTATGACTGATGTTAATCGCATACCAAAGAGAATCTAATTTTGTTTCTTACCTCCAGCAAATGGTATTTCTCATTGCCTTAGCTATAAGAATAATCCAATCCCTTGGGTCCTCTCTGAGTCCTAATATCACAGTGGATACTATATACAAGCGGTGACTTGGGGCTGCAATGGATCCTGTCTGTTTCAGTCTGGATTGGCTGTCTGCGTGTGCCCTGGAGAGGCACATGGCTGCTGGAGGCCAGGGCATGATGAATGGGCAGAGCCCAGGTTCTGGCCTTAGCTCAGCCACTAAATAAGTATTCTGTGTGTATGTCCATCAACACATATTATACTGTTTTGTAGTTCTTTTTGCTCTTTCTTTCTCCCTGTCTTCCCTTTTCTCCTTTCCCTCCCTCTTTCTTTCTTTATACACACAAATACTCTTTCTAATAACTGAGCCACCTAGAGTCACGGCACATAGCCTGAGCCCCCTGGCAGCTCTGGTGGCCATGCCCTTTCAGCTTCCACCGGCACAACACTGCTTTTCTAAAATGAAGTCTGCAGTGGGTGGGCAGCGGGTTCCAGCCCCGGGAGGCCTCTGCCTACTTGGGCTGTAGCATCTCTTGGAATGCTCCTTGAGAGGCAAGGTCAGGAGTTGAGATGCTGCCTCTTCTGGAAATCAGCAAAGTCTCCCTGTGCAAAGCTGGACCAGGGTGGTGGAGACCAGTTTTCCTCCTCATCCTCCCAAATGTGCTTTAGAATGGCTGCCTTGCCCGCTCCACTGGCCACGAAGATGACAGTTCTAGCTGCGTTCAGCAGGGAAGTGTGAGGGTCCCGCGCTGCCGAGGTGGCTGGGGGAATTGCCGATGGGAGTGACTCCTGATCATGCAGGAGATTGGGGTCTGGGGAGGGTGAGCAGGGGGCTGTAATTGGGATCTACACCCAGAATCAACAGATTGAAAACCAGAATGGAATCCCTTAGGAAGGCCAGTCTCAGCTTCTTGGCGCAGTTCTCAGCCGCCGCCTCCTCGAGCAACTTGGGGCCAGTGGTGATCACTTGGCTGGTGGGGCTGGGCTGCATGGTGAGCAGGTAGATCCTGTAGAGGCTGTCTGGGCTTTCGGATTGCTGGAGGGGAAGGGCAGGAGGTGCTTGTTGGAGAAATCCAATGTCCAGTGAGGAGGCTAGCGGACCGGTGGCAGGGCAGCAGTGGCCCATGGCTCAGAGCCCCCGCATCCAGATGAGGATGCCAGCAACAGGCCAAGTGCAAAGCCGCCCACTGTACTACTGGTTGTGCCAACAACCAGCCCAGCTCCTGCAGGCTCCGGAAGATGGAGTGGAGGCCACCAATATGCCTGCCCTATGCAGCCTTTCTTTAGTCTCTTGTCTTTCCCACCAGTCTAGGGGGGACAGCTCTAGCACTGTATCATCATATACTTCCTGGGCAGATGCTAACAAAGGAAGGAAGTTTGCTTTGCTTGAGAGGCAATTGGGAATAGCTGAGACTGTGGCAGAGTTGATGGTACCTTCTCCATCTCTTAAGGGCAGCCTCTACTCAATTCCAGCCATCATTACCAAATGACAGTGCAAACTCAGGATTGCTGAATCATATTGTTGCTCAAGATAGCTAGTTATCCAGACCTCCTATGTGATCTCCCAGTTTTTAAGGGTTGAAAGCCAGACAAATATATTTGTAGACTGGATTCAGCCAAGCAGTTTGTTGATCATTTAGGTGCTAACTCATGTCCGACTCTTTGCGCCTCATGGGCTGTAGCCCGTCAGGCTCCTCTGTTCATGGGATTTCTAGGCAAGAATACTGGAATCGGTTGTCATTCCTTTCTCCAGGGGATTGTCCCAGCCCAGGCATCGAACCTGGGTCTCCTGCATTGCAGGCAGTCTGCTGCAATTGCATGTGGATTGCACGTGGATTCTTTACTGACTGAGCCACCAGGGAAGATGCAGAGCAAGATTTCCTGGCTGTCCAGTGGTTGGGACTTCGCCTTCCAGGGCAGGGGGTGTGGGTCTGATCTCTGGTAGGGGAGCTAGGATCCCACATGCCCTGTGAGACTGAAAGACCAAAACATAAAACAGAAGCAGTTTTGTAACAAATTCAATGATGACTTTAAAAATGGTCTGCATCAATAAAACCTTTAAAAAATAATAAAGTGCAGAGCACATCTAAGTATTTTGTCCTGAGAGCTGCTGCGAACCCGTACCGCACCCTGTGTGAGTTAGAACATGCTGGTCCATTTGGTATCTTGTGTGAATTAGAACAAGGCAGCCCCTCCCTGATCATGTAACTTGTCATCACATGGCTTAGTGGCCTCTGTACTCTCAGGGTCTGGCAAAGGGCCTGATGCTTAATAAGGCTCTAACATCTCTTAGATGGGCTTGTGCACATAAATAAAGAGATACACCCTGAGAGAGATTAATCAGACCTCTCTGCTTCACATTTTACTCTCGGACTTAGTGTTTCTAAGGCCCCTTTCAGCTCCAGTGTCCCATGATTTCTGTGACTCATACAGAACTGGTTAGTGAGGTACAGCTTCTCCCCCAGTATTCACTTTATTGATGCTTCCCCATCCACATTTTAATAGATAGCTTTTATTAGAACAGATGTAAATCTTTTCAGGATTTACAGAAATCTTAGGATTTCTGTAGTCAGTGAGGTATAGCGTTGCGGCATGGTGGGTGGAGACTTTCTTTTCCATCTCATCAGATCTGAAACAGAGATTTGTTCCTGGTCAAATGGGGCTGAGGCTTCACAGCACGGGGTTTCATTTTGTTTTCTTCCACTCTATAAAATTAAAGTGAGCTTTGAGGCAGTCTATTGACCTTTGGCCAAGGGTAGTGTCTTCCCAGCTTGAATCACTTACTGACCTCTTTTGAATTTTTCCATATCTGTGTGGCTTGGCAGTGTTGTTTCCATGTATGGGGCAGTGTGTGCACAGGAGGTTGTAAATGGAGATTTCAGGCTAGTTGTCTTTATCATTTGCAGCATCAGCTGTTGGAATCCCAGCTGCACCACTTCAAGGCCTGTTATACAAACATCTCTGCATCTCAGTGTCCACATTTGTAGAGAGGGGGTGCCTGCCTCACAGACTTTTCTGGCAGAGTTAATCCATTGTGAATGGGAAAAAAAAAAGCTGTCTAGTATGACTTCCCAGGTGGCTCAAAGGTAAAGAATCTGCCTGCCAGTTTAGGAGATGTGGGTCTGATCCCTGGGTCAGGAAGATCCCCTGGAGAAGGAGATGGCAACCCACTCCAGTATTCTTGCCTGGTGAATCCCGTAGACAGAGGAGTCTGACAGGCTACAGTCCATAGAGTCACAAAGAGTGAGACACGACTGACTGAATGACAAAACAACAACATGTAGTAAAAGCCCTTGATATATTAACCTTTTGAAGCAAATGTTGTTGTCGTTCAGTTGCTGAGTCGTGTCTGATTCTGTGACCCCATGGAGTGCAGCATGCTAGGCTTTCCTGTCCTTCACTATCTCCCAGAGTTTGCTCAAACTTGTGTCCATGGAGTCAGTGATGCCATCCAACCATCTCATCCTCTGTCGTCCCCTTCTCCTCCAGCCCTCAATCTTTCCCAGCATCAGGGTCTTTTCCAATGAGTCAGCTCTTCGCCTCAGGTGACCAAAGTATTGGATCTTCAGCTTCAGCATTAGTCCTTCCAGTGGATATTCAGGGTTGATTTCCTTTAGGATTGACTGATTTGATGTCCTTCAAACAAGCGAAGTGCCTGTAATTTCTGCTGGGGAACTGTAGGGGGCACCTAAGAGGCATCAGCTGAGACGAGAGAATACTGCAGAGGCTGGAAGGTGGGACTTGATCTTCTCAGGGAAGGTTCTTGCAGCTGTGGGTGGTCCCATCACAGGGCCTGGGTGAATGTTATAGTGAAAGCTGTGGGTGGTCCCATCACAGGGCCTGGGTGAATGTTATAGTGAAGGCTCGATCAGTTTCTGCTCCTACCCGAGGGTTGGACACTTGGTTATCTCCTTAGTGTCAGCCTGGATTTGTTTCAAAGGTGCCCCTCCTCTGAGGATTTGGTTGTTTGGGGGGCCCTTGGAGTCTTCTTTTAAAAATAAAAAAAGAAAATTTTTTTTGCCACACCACATGGTATGTAGGATCTTAGTTCCTTGACCAGGGATTGAACCCACGCCACCTGCATTGGAAGCACAGAGTCTTAATTAATCACTGGACAGCCAGGGAAGTTCCCTTGGGGTCGTCTTTAGTCTCTCTCAGACGGTAAAAGCATCTGTCTACAATGCGGGAGACCTGGGTTCGATCCCTGGGTTGGAAATGATCCCCTGGCGAAGGAAATGGCAACCCACTCCAGTACTCTTGCCTGGAAAATCCCATGGACGGAGGAGCCTGGTAGGCTGCAGTCCATGGGGTCTCAGAGAGTCAGCAGACACGACTGAGCGACTTCACTTTCACTTTTCCTTATAAGTGCTGCCACCACCATGCTGAAACTGAAGCTCCGGTACTTTGGCCACTTGATGTGAACAGCTGACTCACTGGAAAAGACCTCGATGCTGGGAAAGACTGAGGGCAGGAAGAGAAGGGTACGACAGAGGACGAGATGGTTGGATGGCATCACAGACTCAATAGACATGAATCTGAGCAAATTCCAGGAGATAGTGAAGGACAGGGAAGCCTGGTGTGCTGCAGCTTATGGGGTAGCAAAGAGTAAGACACGACTGAGCAACTGAACTGAACTGAATGAATCATTCTGGGGTTTTTTTGGCTGCATTGGGTCTTCTTTGCTGCACGTGGGCTTTGCTGCAGTTGGCTAATGGAGAGTTAACAGCGCTGTGAGGCTGAGATACAAGGAGGAAGGGATGTGCCAATTCACTTAATAAAAACTAGATTATCTTTATTGAATCAGCTAAAACTGAAGCCTTTATAATCACTGACCACAATAATCGTGATAGATT